TTTTTTTTTTTTTTTAAGGCCTTCTTTTCAGTTTAACTTCAGAGCTATCAGAGGTAAAGTTACAGATTCAAGGAAGCAGGGGGTGAGAATTTGTGGCAGCTTCTTGTTAGTTGAAGTTTCTCATTTTTTATATAAAGCAAAGCAACGCCAAGCCATTGCTTGATTAATTTAGAGGTTACATTTCTTTTCTTTCATCTTCCAGTATGTCCACCTGTTTAAGATATTGTATTGCATGACTTAACTCTGCTCTTACCAGTTATTATTTTTTTGTTCATTTCTGTTGCGTTTTTGTTTGTTGTATTTGCTTTCCAGTTAGTGTCTTTCACCTGGTGTGTGTGTGTGTGTGTGTGTGTGTGTATACTGCCTCTGCTGAGGTTCAAACATAGCTTACCCTTTACTGAACAGTTGCTCAAATGCACAGACCACTGCGACCTTCATCTGTGGGTGTAACAAGAACAATTGACTTGAAGTCCTGCAAGCACCGAGACACGTGCTTGTTCACTGAAGAGAGAACTCATTTGTAATTTTGTGCATGTATAAACTGGCTGGAATGACACAAATATGTAATGCGTTCACATGATTAGCATATCAATATGTTGATATGTATCCACGTTTATACTTTTTACTTTTAATTTTATATGCATTTTATGGCTGTTTATTGTCTGTACCTCATCTGTGCTCTTTGTTTAAATCAGGTCTCTCTTGAAAATGAGTCCTCGTGACTCAATGAGACTAACTTGTATAAATAAAGGTTGAATGAGAAAAAAAAAAACAGCTGATAGTATAAATTTGTCTTTTTTTTTCTAAAGACCAGACGTCAGCTCTGTTGTGCACACTGTTGTGCCCACTCAGTAGAAAGTGACTGGAATCCAAAGAAAGGCAGCATTTGATTTACTAAAGTTACTGATGGCGTTGTAGCAATTGTTTTTTTTTTGTCTGATCCTGATTTTTCTCCTCTCTTTTTTTCTGTTTATTTCTACTTGTCGCTCTTCAGTTATGGTAAAGCAGGAGCAGAGAGACGAGTTGGACCTTCATACTGTTCCCCCTATTTCCATGCCCTTGGCGCATGCTGCCAGCCTGGTCCACCCCCAGCTGCCTTCTCCTGAGCAGGGCCACCCATCGGACAACCTTCTGTCCAGCTCCCTTCACAGCCTGGCCACAGTCTCTAGACCTGACCTGCTACCTCTGTCGGGCCCCTGCCCCTCCCTGAGCTCCCCTCCATACCCGCACCTGCCTCACCTCCAGGGTCACAGTTTGCATCATCCTCCTGCAGACTGCCACATGCCGTTCCACCAGAGCTCTGCTCCTGCTCCCCTCCGGCCCTCCTACCAGCCTTTGCAACACAGCCATGGTCAGAGTCATAACATGTCCTTCAATGGCCAGCCCAGCCTTCCCCTTCAGAGCTATGACAGAATGCCCTTTCAGCAGAGCCCAAGTGCAGTATCACACCCAATTGGCTTGGGAATGGGTTACCAGTCCTCCCCTTGCTCCTCACCATCAGTTCCCTCTTCAGCCACCAATCCAATAATTGGATCCCCCCAGAGCCAGCAGCCCTTGCTCTCTCCGTCATCCCCACACCTCCATGCTCTCGGAGGCTTTCACTGCTCACCAAATCCCAACCAGGTGTCCTCTCAAGGTGTGCACTCCTTGACTGGGCAGCACTCCCCACAGGTGCAGAGAGGTCTGAGCTACCACCCAGTGAGTCAAAGATCAGCTTCCTGTCCCACGCCATCCACTAATTCCCCACAGATGATCCCATCTCCCCATTCTGGACCCTCTTCTCCTCAGCTCCACTCCCTACCATACCAATCTCCCACTTCATCCTCCCCCACCTCAGGTGGCAGCCCTCTGGGGATCTTACCACAGCAGCATTCTGGACAGCCCTCTCCTCAGGCCACAAGTCCAGTTCTGACCAGTCTGTCTCCTTCAGCAGTGGGGCCACTGGTTCATCCTTTAAGTCCTCAAGGGCCCTTTCCCTCGAATGGAGAGAGCCCAAATATTAAGCAAGAACCAGAGGACAGAGAACCCACCTTCCGCTCCATCGGCCTGCAGGACATCACACTGGATGATGGTAAGATACTTGGTATCCTTAAATCATCTATGAAGTTTTACTTTTTCTGACCTTTGCACACTGTATATTTTTACTTTATTGTTGCGATTTCAAGAATAAATGCATTGTCACTTTATGACACTCATGATTACACACAGATTTTACAGTTTTGTTTGTCAATTTAAGAAAAATAAATTTAATATTTTAGGTGCATTTTGTCACAATGTGAAGAAAACAGGGTTAAGTTTAGATATGTGTGAAATTTTGTTTTTCTAAAGAAAACAAAATATGTTTTTTAATTAATATATTTGTTACTGTGGCTCCTGTATAGGTGGCTTTGCTATTTTATTTTAGTGAATACATGTAAAATGACAAAAATCAGCATTAAAAAAAAAAATCCTAATCATTTCGATTGGACTGTCACACAAAACAGACATCATAATGATGGAGACCATCACTCCAGCTTTTCACTTTGTTTTCTTTATGTCTCCTATATCATCTAATCTGATTTCCTCTTTGTGATATGATACTGTGCATGTTTGACTTTATGTACTGCTGTTGGTCTGCTCCTGCTTTCAACACCACTCTTTTCCTCTCGTCCTATCTTTTGACACGTTATTTGGAGCACAGCCATTTGTGATCAGTCCCATTTTCTGTCTGAAACAAAGGGTGGCTGAGAGATTAAATTCACCGTAAAATATGAGATGCACAAGATTAATTTGCATCAGATGTAAAACAATACAGATCACCAGTTCTTGTGTTTTGGAGGGGCTGAAATGCAGATGTCTGATAACAGAGATGGTGTTTCGTCTCTCACTGCAGTGCATAGTTGTGTTTGGGGGTTTATTGCTCATGGTGCTGTAACTTAGTATTGGGTATCATAGACACAAGAGGACTGATAACTGATGCATCACATTTAAGTGCCTAATTGGAAACTGCTAAGCTTCTGAATCTCGCAGCAATTTGAAGATTAATGTCAATTTAAATCTTTTTGGCTCTTTGGAGCTCAGGATCAGAGGAGTGCTGCAATATTTTGTGTTTGTTTTGCTCTAAGACTCTCTGGAACAATGCCATAGTCATCCAGTGTGTGCATGTGCGTGCACTGACTTTAACTATTCTAACTTTTTACTTTAGAGCTGATCATGGAGTCGATGCGTTTTTATTCTCATGCATGAATCGGCATCCAAGAGGTGTTAATCCAAACCCCTAAATCATCTGGCTTTGCATTTAGATCCTCGCCTTAACTCAGTGGGTATATTAAGATAATGGTTCTGAAAATGTAGGATTAGTAAGTAGCCTTGTGAGGCTGTGTCAGAGAGGGGTGTTGTGTGTTAGCAAAGCTCAGCCCAATTAACTTAGGGCTGCTGATGGTAAATCATGTGTGAAGGACCAACTTCCACTGGAGTCCATCTGAGCAGAATATGATTTGTGCGCACAGATTAAATTGTTTATTTAAGAAACAGGTCTCACACAAATCTGTAGCTCAGTTTTAGTTGGTCACAATCCACTGTGAAAGTTGCCATTTGCACTTTTATTTTTCTTTGCAAAAAGAAGCGTGAGCAAAGTTTGCGACATAGTTCAGCCGGGAATGTTAAATCTCCCTTTGAGCCTGTGGCTTAAAATAGATTCCTGTGCCATTTCTCTGTAGGCCATGTTTTAACGTAGCAACAGGAGCTTCACGCAGCTCTGAGTTTTAGGAGGTCATGGCACACTCTCTTAATTAGATCACTTTTACTCCAGTTTGGGAGCCAGAAAGGGTATTACAGAAACACATGGAACTGTACATATTATGGGGGGCATTTGTTTTAGGCAACTTGGTAAAAGTAAAACAACAGTCATTGTGGTTGATTGTGAGATCTTTGCCATTTCAACCTAATATTCAAGTGAACAGCTTATCCATTTAAATGAGGTTGCACCATCTTTGCTTTCAAAAGCTCGTGGCTGCCACCGTTCTGACTTTTTCCCATCCTTCACTGTAAATTTTCAGATAGAATCCACCTATTACTTAAGTGTTTTTATTTATTTATTTATTTTATAATTGGTCTTAGGTATTTTTCTTGAAGGTGTTATAAAAAGTAATAAAATAATACCTCAGTAGTTTTAATGAATTGTGTCAGTGACATGACAAGCAGCACAAATGTGTGTAGAGACTGCTTTGGTTTGCAAGCAGATGGCCCTTGTGACGCACACCAGAGCATGCTTGAGATGTGTGATTGTGTGCATGAAAGGGAGAGAAATAGGATGTTGTGTGTGTGAGTGTGTGTGTGTGCAGGGTAGAGCACGCAGGAGGTGAGAAGACAGATTGACAGACACATGGACAGACAAGTTCAAGATCCAACCCCACTGCAGGGTCACTCAGCTGAGACGTTCAATTTAGAATATGTTTGGTGCCTAAAATAGAAGCATTGTTTTACTAAAATGTGTGCAATTCTTTTTGCTTCAGTATGTCCGTCTAGACAAAATAAAGCTGTGACTGTGTGGAGAAATTAAATAATATTAAATAATGAATACTTGGATGAAAAAGTCATCACAGGGCACTGAACAGAAACATTCATATACCGGTACATAAAAAGTAAATTAATATTATTTATCCGAGGAGCAGACTACTTTGAGGTTAACGCCATCACAAACTCTTCTTGAGCAAGCATGAAGGCAACAGTGGAAAGGAAAAACTCCCTCATGAGGAAGAAAACTTTAGCAGAACCAGGCTCAGGACAAGCAACCATCTGCTTCAACCGACTGGGTTTGACAGGAACAAGAAGAAGGAACAGATACACAATGGCAGGTCCAGAATCATATGTTAGAAATAATATCACATGAAAACAATTCAATTTTAACAATTAATTTAAAGAAATATAGCCAATTTGTCCTCCAGTAGTCTAAGGCTTAAGGCAGCATAACAAGCCAACCCTAACTATAGGATTTATCAAAAAGGAAAGTCTTAATCCCAGTCTTAAAACTGGACAATGTGTCAGCCTCATGGACAGAAACTGGAAGTTGGTTCCACAAGAGAGGAGCCTGATAACTGAAAGATCTTCCTCCCATTCTGCTTTTGGAAACTCTAGGAACCACAAGTAAGCCTGCAGTCTGAGAGCGAAGTGCTCTGTTGGGAAAATATGGAACAATAAGATCTGTAATATAAGATGGAGCTAGGTTGTTGAGGACTTTGTAGGTTAGAAGTAAGATTTTGAACTTTATTCTGAATTTGGCTGAAGTTTTTGCCTGAGAGTTCAGAAGAATAGTTTTGAAGAAGCTTTACAAATTAAACATTTTCCCAACTTTTTAAGCACTTTTTAAGCACATAGTAATCCATATATTTGCAAAGCAATATTTAAAAAATGTGTCACAGTTGATTATCTCTATATCAAAATAAGTTGTGTTGACAGTGTATGCACCGTGGCAAAAGGTTTTATAGTTTAAATTCTTTTCATTTTACATTTTGTTTTAAAGTTAGTGTTCTGGAGTTCAGTTTTGACAGAAAGAGAGCAGCTTTTAGCAGCTGTTGCTGAATCAGCATTGCACCGCGAGCGTATTGTGCTGCTTAACACGTCCTACATACAGCTTCTAATTTCTGTCTTTCACTGAACAGGTTGCTTCTTTCTTTCTCCAGAAGTTGCATGCATGCACACTGCTGTATCGTATTTCTAAAATTGTCTGATATATAGTTCAAAATTCCCTTTTACTTGTAGTTGGCTGATAAAATAATTAGTGCTGTTTTTGTTTTCCTTTGGCTGCTCCAGAATGTAGGGGCCGCCACATCGAGCAAACTTGCACTAACAATTTGACAATTGTTTAAAGTGGATTCCCTTCCTGACTCAACCTGGGCTCAAACCTGCAGCCTCTGGATTACAAGACTGTGGCACTGACCACCGAGCTACCACACCTACTGCTGTTGGTTGTACTTTAGTGAAATGTGTGGACACCTGAGTACAGCGTGAAGTGTAGCTGGAAGAACTTAATATCAAACAAAACAGGCCATAAGATTTTAAAATAAACCATAATTTGAGCCTGAAGAAATTGTGTACATTTTATTGTAATTTATCCTGCTAACGTAGAAAAATTATGCACGTTTTTTTTTTTTTTTAAAGGAAAAAATAAATAAAATGTAGTCGAGCCACATGGAAAACATTTAAAAAGACAGCTAGCTTCAGATAAGGGCTGCCACTGCCGAGACCATCCAGTTACTGACTTATGAAATAAATAAATAATAATAATTATTATTATAAATTGAAATACATAAAAACAATTTGACTTTTGTTACGCTTGTCAACACGAGTGCCCAGAAACAATAAATGTTTCCCATTTTACAGAGAAAGGTTTTTGTATATTTAAGATTAATAATGTCCCACGTGGGGGAGAGGTGGTGCAGAGGTTAGAGAAGGCGAGCCTATTATGTGAAGGTCTCCGGTTCAACTCCCCGGATAAACAATGTCAAAATGTGAATGGGAAAGTTGAAGCACCCACACCTTCCTCCACCCTCATTTGCCCCATTCTGGGCCCTTAACCCCCACCATCTGCTCCCCCAGGCACCCTAGATAGCAGCTCTGCTCCACGCAGAGGCTGTGGTAGCTCAGTGGTCTGTGGTTGTGTCAGGAAGGACATCCAGCATAAAAACAATTGCCAAGTCTTCGTGCGACTTAGTTTGATGTGGCGACCCCTGAAGAAGGGAGCAGCTGAAAGAAAAATAAAAAAGATAAATAATGTCCTATATTATTTTAAATGAGACGATTGTGCCCCTCTCTAAAAGTTGTTTTCAGTGGGTGCTTCACTCAGAGTTTGATATGAGAGAGCTGTGAAACGAATTTGGCAAATTGTGGCCACGATTTCAAAAAGACTTTCCCCCAGAAGTTGGAGTTCAAGACTTCAAGCAAAAAATACAAGAAAATCACGACAGGCAAAGAAAAATGCATCTGTTTATATTTAACTTTAAACTTTACCTAAACCTGAATTTGTCAAAGAGATATTTGTGTGTGTGGTGTTTAACAAAATAAATAAATAAATAAATCCAGACGAATTAGGAG